GGGGGGGGGGGGGGGGGAGTGAGAGAGACAAGATGGGGTATAGAAAGAGGAAGAGGGAGAATAGGAGACTTTGTGAGAGGAAGAGGAGAGAGGAAAGAGAGAGCATGGAAAAAGAGGTGATTGGGGAAAAGTCGGAGGAAAGTGTCTGGCAGTTGGTGAAGAGAGAGAGAGGGAAGAAGGGTGGAGTAAATGAGGAAATTGAATTGGAGGAATGGAAGAAATATTTTATGACAGTGATGGGGGGAGTGGAGGAGAAGGTGATGAGAGGATGAAGGAGAATAGAAGAGGAGAAGGAAGAGATAGGGTGGGAAGAGGTGAAGGAGATAATGAGGAAGCTAAAAAATGGAAAGGCGATGGGGTTAGATGAAGTTCCGAACGAAGTATGGAGATATGGAGGGAGCGAGATAGAGAAGTGGGATGGAGGATGTGTGGAAAGATATGGAGAGGAGAGGGGTGGCCGGAGGAGTGGAAGGAGGAGGTGGTAATCCCGATTAGGAAGAAAGGGAACGGAGGGAACGTAGAAGACTATAGAGGGGTAACTTTGATGCCTTCTCTATACAAAGTCTATACGACGGTGCTAGCGGAAAGGTTGAGGGAGGAAGTGGAAGGAAGAGGGTTACTGTTGGAGGGTCAGGCGGGGTTTAGAAAGGGAATGGAGACAATGAATCTGATCTATGTACTAAACTATGTAGTGAATAGGCAATTGGAGAGAGGGAGGAAAAATGATAGTGTTATTTATTGATCTGAAGGCGGCATTTGACTCAGTGAAGAGAGGGATTTTGGTAGAGGCGATGAGGGGGAGAGGTGTGAGGGAGGGGTTAGTGGTGAGGGTGGAGGAGTTGTTGGGGGAGACGAGGAGCAGGATGAGGGTGAGAGGGTATGTGGGGGGAGGTTTTGGACGAGCGGGGAATTGAGACAGGGGTGCCCGCTGAGTCCAATTTTATTTAACATTCTAATAGCGGATCTGGAGGACGTGATGAGGAAAAGTGAATGGGGAGGGGTAAAGATTGGAGGGGAAAAGTACTACGCATTGGCGTATGCGGACGATGTGGTTCTGATGACGGAGGAGGAAGGGGATATGAGGGCAATGATAGGAAGACTGGAAAGATATCTGGATGGGAAAGGGCTGGAATTAAATGTAAGTAAGATGAAAATTATGCAGTTCAGGAAAAGGGGAGAGAGAGAAAAGATGTGAGTGTAGGTGGAAGGGAAAAAACTGGAGGAAGTGAAAGAATTTAAATATTTGGGATACGTGATGAAGAGGAATGGAGGGCAAGAAGCGCAGGTGAGAGATAGAGAAAGGAGGGCAGAGTGGGCAAGGTGGTGATGACCGAGGTGTGGGGGATAGGAAAGAGAGTATGGGGGAGGGACTGGAGGAGGAGGAGGTTATGGCTATTTGATAAGTTAGTATGGACAGTGATGGGGTATGGAGTGGAGATTTGGGGATGGAAGGAGAGGGAGGAGTTGGAAAAAATTTGAGAAATTTGTGAGGTGGACGATGGGGATGGAGAGGAGGACTCCAGGATACATGATAAGGGAGTAGGTTGGGAGAGAGAAATTGAGAGGGAGGGCAGGGAAGAGGGCCTGGGACCCTGAGAAGAAATTGGAGGAAGGAGGAGAAGAAATAATTGCAAGGAGGTGCAGGGAGGAGATGAGGGAAGAGATGGAGAAAAGGGAAGATGGGAGGAAGAAAGGAAATGATTTATGGAGGAGAGAGGATGGAGGATGGGGGAAGAGGTAGGAGAGGAATATGAGGAGGTGGGAGAGAGAGAGAGAGAAGATTAGAGAATCGAGAAGCAATATATGGTATCAAGTTGTGAAAGGAGAAGGAATAGCGGGATATCTGGAAAAGGACTGGGCGGAGGAAAGGTGGAGGAGGGTGATAAGGTTTAGGATGGGAAATGAGATGAGAGAGGGCATGTATTGAGAGGAAGAGGAGAAGAGGAGATGCAGGATATGTATGGGAGCGAAGTAAAGAGTTGGGAGCACGTATGGGAGAAGTGTATGAGGGGTGAGAGGGAAGGAAGAAGTTGGGAAAGCAGTGGGGAAGATATTAAGGAAGGAGGGGAGGGAGAGGAGTGAATGAAAAAGGTGGATATGGGGTGAGCGAATGAGTGAGTGAGAGAGAGAGAGTGTATGAAAGTGGAGAGACGGAAACGGAAGTCCAAGCGTTAGGTTAAGTTAGTTATGTAAGTTAGGTGTAAGTTAGCTATAAGAATTAGTGTAAGTTTAGTTATTAAGAGTTAGGATGCGGAGGTGTGTGTGTGTGTGTGTGTAGCTGGGGAAGCGGAAATTATAATTTTAGACTTTGTAACCCCATATGGGAATCAATAAAGATTTACATACATACATACATAAAAATTATTTATTTTCTTCTCACAGAGCTTTGAAAAATTTTTCAGAATTTTTTAATTAGTTTTTTAGTACAACATTTTGCATGTTCTTGAAGTACTAAAAAGTTTATAAAAAAATCCTGAAAAAATTCTTAGAGCTCTATAAGAAGAAAATAAATAATTTTCATCTCTTGCTATTTTTCTATAAAGTTGATGGAGTAAAAAAATTATTGAAACCAATAATTTTGTAGATATTTCCATAAATATCTTAGAAAATAGAGTTTGTATGAAAAAGTTTTTTAAACAAAAGTTATTCGTTTCTTTACATAGGATAAAATTCCGTAATAAAAAAATACATATTTCTATTTAAAAAAGCGAAGAAACCTCGACCTGATCTTGACGGCGCCACCCAAGGTCAAATAAATATTACCATTGAATCCATCTTTCTAAACCTTACAACTTTTGTCTGAAACATTTTTCTATAAAACTTATATTTTCCGAGTTATTCAGGAGTACCGACTTTTTTCTCCACCCTGCATATTTTATTCGGAAATATTCAAAATATCTCGTAAAATATTCATTTGTTTTAAATATCAAGTATCTTACTTCAATGTATGCGCAAAATGTTCAAAAGAATCTATGTAAATAAAACATGATTCCATTAAAGAAGTGTAATTGTAATTTTCCGATATATGTATATAATTGCATATACGGAAAAAATGTCGATTGAAAAATAATCTTTATTATACTATACATCTTTTATTATATTATACATCATTATATTAAACTATACATCTTTTGTCTCTATCATTTTTTTATCTTTAACAAAGCAGCTATACATCTTAATTGCGTGATGCGTATTGTATAGGGATCTGTTACATTAATTATAAAAAAATATTATATTTTTGCAGGTAGAATCGGGTGGCACTGTTTTAAGTACAAACTGGTCAGAAGTAGGTCAGGGAAAAGTTGAAAGGAAACCGCCAGACGGAATGGAATGGAAAACTTGGAATTCATAATGTTATTTAAACTAAAATTTTTCATTATTTTGTGCATATAATAACTGCATTTGACTCTAAAGTACTACATATATACAATGTGCTACATACATACTTTATTATCAAATAAGCAGACACTGTTGACACTTACTATCTTCATATAATATTGTTTTTTCTGTATCTGATAATTCAGTGATAATAAAGTAACGGCTCCTGCACATAGGACTTCCGCCGCGCGGCAAGCATTACCGCGTCCTGTGTGCAGGAGTCATAATACTCTGTGTTAATCATATATTTGGGATAATTTTAAAACATCTATAGCCATATTAATTTATATATATTTTTAATACAATAATCTTATATGAAATAAATTGTGTGTGTATGTGTACGCGCGCGCGTGTGCGTGTGTGCATGTGTGTGTCTCTGTGTGTGTGTGCGTGCGTGTACGCCTGTGTGTCACGTGTATGTGTATGCGTGTGCGCACGCGTGCGTTATAACGGCTCGCCATTAGTGCTGGGTAGGCGGAGCCAAATTTCTGGGTTCGGTGAAGGGTCTGTGAAAGAAATACTCTCGTGGGTTTCTGCCTTATAAGTGGATTTTATTTAGCCTCCTCGATTAGTAGCTATTTACAAAAGTGTGGGCGTGGAGTTATCACAGTATCGCTGTGATGACTTCGATGGTTGAAACGTGTTATTTCGCTTGTCTCGCGAGGCGACTAGTCGCGAGGTATGACAATTCTTACATGTTTCGTTTTTGTCGGCGCAATTCACTGTGTTTGGTCCGACTGAATAGGCCGATATGCGGTCTGCGTATGTAGTGCCGCAGAGCGGTCAGCGTTATGAGTGTTCGCATTGTCTGTCGCCACTTAGTGTTTGTCGGAGTCGCTAATTATCCCCGGTTGCCTTGCTCTAAAGGTTTGAACGGAGTGTCGAATATGTTCGGCCGAGCCGGATAAGAAACTCGGGACGAGCAGATGGCGTACCGAATATTCTCGACCGAGCGAGGTATTGCTCGTAGCGGAAGGTTGGAGTGCCGAGTATCCCCGGCCGAACTATGGGAGCAGTTTGTGTCGGAAAGGTGGATTGCCGAATATCCCCGGCCGAACTGTGGGAGCAGTTCGGAGCGGAAAGGCGGATTGCAGAGTATCCCCGGCCGAACTAATCTCTTAATTCGAGAGTGGATGCTGCGCATTCACAGCGGAGAGCGGTTTTCGGGATGTCTGCCGCTTTAGAGATGAGTCGAGAACAATCTGCCCTTGTTCTGATTTCGGTCGCGTTTTATACGCTTCTTCCTTGTTCTTTCGTGTAATTTCGTTTTTGTTCGCGGCTTATCGGCATTTTTTGTTCGTTCGATATTAGTGTTGTTTTCCTGCGGTATGTTTGTCGCGACTATACGGCGGGTCGGTATGCGGTATGCGGAGTACACGCCGAGTGTTCATTAGTCGCGATATTCGGCGACATGTTTCGTATCGATGCCCCAAGTGCATTATTATAGCGTGTGCACGTACATGTGTATATATGTACATTGTATATCGTCACGTCCTCACGAGGTTCTGTGACGCGCACGACGGAAACTCCGCTGTGCTGAGTTGTTAGGTAATCGTCGAGTTTTCCGTAAGAGTTTACAGGATGTTTTCGCATTTGACGGGAAAGGATAAAGAAAACAAATTAGATAGTTGGAAATAAAAAGATAGAATTTATTGTAGAGCTCCCGGTACTTTATCTAGACGTCTACGATATGGCAATATGTATGCACGTATGCGCTATCGGCAGGCAGTACGCGTCGAATCGCTTGGGTCTGGTTACAGTAGTATGTGATTACGACTTACATTTGTAGCGGTCGACGGATTCGAATAAGTTACGATATCCAGTACCTTTTGAGAGCAGGAAGAAGGGCCTTGTGTATCCCCTTTGATTGGCACGGTTGACTGTGAGGTGGAAGGCCATGATTGTAACTCGGAAAGATTTCCGTAGGGTATCCACACATGCACTAAGTTAAGATTACTTTATTCCGAGTTTTCACTCGCGGATTCTAGACAATGGCTCACTAATGATTTAGAAAAATAATATTCCCACACAGCAATTGATATCTATGAGATATATTAAAATCATCGCGGATATGCGAAATATATCTCAATCTTCTGATAATATCATCAGTATATCATAATAAATAAATTTCGAAAATATCCCCGTATACAATATCCAAGAGATATCTTATCTCAAATATGATATTAGGTGCGCAATTAAGTTCCCGCTGTTTGTCAATAGATTGCTCCAGCAGTAAGTGCTGGTCGATTTTGACATATCCAAAACGTCATGAACCAAGCTTAGACATATGGTAAACAAACCGCTTTGACATGTTAGTGATTTTGTTTTGGCGTCATATACTTTTGGTTGTGTGAAAATGTCTGATTTTGTGCCAAATAATCGTCATTTGCGGGAAGTG